CCCTCTGGGTCCCTCCCCCACGCGGGTCATGGGTGGCACCCTAGTGGGTGGCATGGCCCGACTCTAATCAGGCTCACACGGGCGAGCTGCCGCTTAGCTTGGTGGAGGCACCTGCATGTGTGAGCTGAATGCCCTAGGCCCTCGGTGCCCGGCTCCGCATTTAAAACCCCGGAAGCTGACCCGCAAATATGCTCAGTTCCTTAACAAGTCAGGCTGGAAGCCGAAATAGGGCTTAGATTTTCATTAGAAAACTGCCAGGACAAATTATGGGCACGCTGGGGCCTTTGTCCAAAATGTAAGAATTGCTGGATTTTGCCAAGACAGACGAATCGGAACTTGATTTGGCCGCAGCGATAGGCTGGGTCCAACGGGCTATTTGCCTGCTAGGCAACGCAAATATGGCAATGTCAGCCGAACACCGCAAGGTAATACTCCTTTAGATTGATCCCAACTGGCTAGTATGGCCATATCAGTGTCAGGCCCCTCAGCTGAGGGGATGTTGTTCGGGGACAACTTTATCAGTGACCTAGGGTCATATGTTAAGACTTTCATTGCCATGGCCAAGTTCAGGTGAATATGAAAAGGGTTTTTTTCTCCCCAAAGGTTTTACAACAGATGTTTGGGTTCTCCAAGCGGCTCGGGGTTACAGTTTAGAACTTGTACCCATGCCTGTCCAGTATTTTGCCCCCAGGGAATCGTGCCTGTCTCAGGAACAGGAATTATTAATCTCCACGGAGATCAAGGAACTATTCGACAAGGGAGCGATCCAAGAGTTGCCGTTCACCTATTAGGGTTTTCCCAGGGCCGTCTTTAATTTAGATTGGACCCTGGGCGAGCATTTACTTGGGCCCCCTGACTACGTCTAGATACACACAAATACACTACCTGACACACATGCAGATACACACTGACCACATATAGAAACACACAAGAACATACAGATACACACAGACTACATATAGATACACTGACACACACACAGATACAAACACTGACATACATGCAGATACAAAGGTACACACACTGACTACTTATAGATACACCGACACACACACTGACAGACAGACACACAGATACACACATGCAGATATACAGATACAAACACTGACACATACAGATACACACACAAATACAAATGGACAACATACAGATACAGAGACACATTCTGACAGACGTACTGACACAGACTCACACACAGAAAACCATACTGAAACACACATACACAAAGACATACTGAACCACACAGACACTGATGGACTCTCACACACACAGACATACAGATACACTGACAGACGTACTGGCACATATACACACAGACAGACGGACATACTGAAACACACATACACACAGACATTGACAGACATATTGACAAACACAGACATACAGAACCACACTGACAGACTCACACATAGACATACTGACAGACATACACACATTCTGGCACACACACACAGACAGACTGAAACACACAGACACAGACACTGACAGATATACACACATACAGATATTTTGAAACTCACAGACAGCCATACTGAAACACACAGACACTGACAGACTCACACAGACATACTGACACACTTACAGACATACTGGCACACAGACAGACATTCTGGCACACAGACAGACATTCTGGCACACAGACAGACAGACATGCTGAAACACACATACACACATACAGACAGACATGCTGAAACACACATACACACAGACAGACATGCTGAAACACACATACACACAGACAGACAGACATGCTGAAACACACATACACACAGACACTGACAGACAAACACACATCCAGACATTTTGACATACACAGACAGCCATACTGAAACACCACATACACACTGAACCACAGACACTGATAGACTCACACACAGACATACTGACACACTGACAGACATACACACATACAGACATACTGAACCACACAGACACTGACAAACACACATCCAGACATTTTGACATACACAGACAGCCATACTGAAACACACACACTGAACCACAGACACTGACAGACTCACACACAGACATACTGACAGACATACTGGCACACTGACAGACATACTGGCACACAGACAGACATTGGCACACAGACAGACATGGCACACAGACAGACATTCTGGCACACAGACAGACAGACATTCTGGCACACAGACAGACAGACATTCTGGCACACAGACAGACATGCTGAAACACACATACCCACAGACACTGACAGACAAACACACATCCAGACATTTTGACATACACAGACAGCCATACTGAAACACACATACACACTGAACCACAGACACTGACAGACTCACACACAGACATACTGACACACTGACAGACATACACACATACAGACATACTGAACCACACAGACACTGACAGACAAACACACATACAGATACACTGACAGACTTTGATAACCACCCTCCAGTTTCTTACCTTGTCCTGGAGGGTGGCTTCCCTGGGGTCCAGTGGGCTGGCTGGGGTGGCTGGGAGTTAAGCTCTCCCGGCCTGGCCCCCTCCGGAACAGCTGGTCCGCCTTCCTCCCGCGCGGCTCCAGTTTCTGTGGGAGGAAGTGACGCACGGCTGTCACTTCCTCCCACTGCTGCCGAAAAGCAAGGACCCGGTCGCGCTGTTAAAGCGCCACAGCGCCCGACCGGGCCCCTGCTGACACAGTCCCACCGGGTGGCCCTAAGTGCATGGGCCACCCGATGGGCCCCCATAGTTTGCGGGCAGAGGGCAAACAGGGCAGTTACCTCGGGCCCCCCAGCAGGGACAGGGCCCGGGGCAGCTGCCCCGTTTGCCCCGCGTTAAAGACAGCCCTGGGTTTTCCAAGCATCCTCTTCTTGGTACCAAAGACAGGAGGCAGAGTACGCCCCGTTATCAACCTCCGGCCTCTCAATGCTTTCCTATGGTACCAACATTTCCAGAGGGAGGGCATCCATTGCCTTTGTAACCTTCTCCAAGTGTCGGACTGGATGGTAAAACTAGACTTGAAGGACGCCTATTTCACGGTCCCTATGACGGAGGAACACAGGGATTTTCCCCCAAGTTACTTGTAGAGGGAAACAGTAAAGGCTGATATACCTACCGTTCGGACTCTCATTGGCCCCTTTGGTGTTTCACCATAGAAACATAGAATGTGGCGGCAGATAAGAACCATCCAGCCCATCTAGTCTGCCTAAAGTCAGAAAACCAGTAGTGTCATTCCTCCGAACCCGAGGTGTTCGTCTGATTATATATTTAGACGATATCCTGCTCGTGACCCAGTCAGGAGACCAACTAAGCTTATATATCAGCTGGACGACTGCGTTATTCCAAAACTTGGGTTTTTTCCCTGATCACTTGGGAAAAGTCAGTACGGACCCCGCTCAATCAGTGGAATGCTTGGGTGTCATAGTGGACCCTGACAGTCGGCTACTGTTCCTCCCAGAAGCCAAGATGTAAGCCATCTAGAAGGAAATCAGGCAAATGTTGCGAGCAAACAACCTTTTCTACCTGACAATCGCAAGAATTATCGGCCTGCTCGCAGCCTCAATCCAGGCGATCCAGGACTGCTTCATGATCGGACCCTCCAACGGCTCAAGGGGTTCTTACCTATGTTCGGGTCATTCCTACGAGACAAGGTTGAGGTTGGACGATGAGTCCAGAGACGAGCTAACTTGGTGGCTGGCTCACATGGATGCCTGGAACAGTAAAGCCATCTTCTGATCAATCCCGGGTGTGGTGATCGATTCGGGCTCCAGCTTACACAGCTGGGGTGCGCGTTGTGGCACCGTTCCTACCGGAGGCAAATGGTCGGAATTAGTGATGACATTGCACATCTATTGTCTGGAACTGTTAGAAAGGGTTTTTTCACAACCTTACCCCCGATCAAGCGGACTGTGGCATGATGCTCCGAATGGGCAATGTGTTCACGGTGCGTTACATCACCCACCTAGGGGGCACGAAGTCGCGCATGTTGATACTCCTAACGAAGGATTTTTGGCAGTTCTGTATCCACAACACCGTCTCTGTGAAGGCGGAACATATTCCGGGCCTGGACAACTCGATGGTCGATTGGAACTCTCGTTATTTGAGAGACTCCGGAGGCTGGCACTTACACGCTTCGGCGTTCATAGGACTGGAACGGTTGTGGGACCCATTCGAAGTGGATCTCTTCTCATCTCGACTCAACGCCCAGTTACTGAGGTTCTACAAATGGAGACCGGATCCGGCTAAGGGGGTGTCGGACGCGTTCCTTCAGAAGTGGCCAATGGCTCCTATATATGCCTTTCCTCCGTTCCACCTGACGACTCGTACGCTCTCGAAGTTGACTCGACACGAGTGCTCGATGGTGTTGATCACTCCCCTGTGGCGTTCATGACCGTGGTTCCCTCGGTTGCTGGAGTTGGCAATAGATTACTCGCGGTTGCTCCCGACTCTTCCGAATCTCCTGGTGGACCCGGACGGAAACTCGTACCAGTTGGTGGCATCTACTGGCATTTCATGGCATGGCTCCTTTTCAGGGGACCTTGGACTATCTCTGGAGTTCCGCAGTCAACTCTCAATCTCCTAGACAATGCATCGGCACCAGGCACTCGATCGGCACACCGGTCCGCCTGACAAATTGGTCCAGTTGGGGCGTGGAATAGACTAGGGATTCCGTATCTGTACCTCGGCATATGATTCTGGTATTATCGACTAGTAGGTTTGAGTCGGGGAAGGCGTAGCACACCATCAACCTGGATCGTTTGGCCTTTTCAGCTGAATATCATGGTCTGGATGGGTCACCTGTAGGTAGACACCCTTTCATGTGTCATCTTCTTAAGGGGATTCGCCTTGATAGACAACCTAGAGCTAGATCTGTTGCCTTTTGCGACGTAAATGTAGTTCTACAGTTTTCTGTCATCTTGGTATCCAACTCTAGATTGGATGTTGAGACAACTGTCAGCTAAGGTGGCTATGTTCTTATGCTTGATTTCATGCATGGGTGTCGGATGTCAGAGCGCTCGTCTGGAATGCCGTTACATTTACCTTGGGGGGCATCTCCTTTAACATTTCCAGAAGGATGAAGTCGGCTTCGATGGTTTTGTTGGCTGGAATTAACACGTTTATCTTCACTCCCCATTCAGTCCGCGGGGCTATAGCTTCTAGAGTCTCTATGCTTGGTTGTCGCTTGGAAGATATCTTACGAGCGGCTGATTGGTCATGGGAATCGACTTTTCGTGATTTCTATTTCAGGCCGATCGATCATTTTGCATCTCAGGTGGTTTCTAAGCTTTGAACTTGAATAATAGGAGCCTCCGTGTCTTTAATAAAATTCCCAGATTTTTCTATTAACATGACGTAAAGTCATGATTTTATTAAAGACACGGAGGCAAGTATTATTCCCACCCACCCAGTTGTGGAAGGGTGTGGTGTGGTTATGGATCGGTAAGTATTCTCCTTGGAGATTTCATATGTTTTCCTTGTCTGACATTGTATGTATTGGTGAATCATTTGCTTCCGTTATGCCTATTAGAATGTTCCATGGTGATAGCTGACTGGTTATATTTAGATTGATTGCTTATATGTTTATGTACCGTTTGGAGTCCAGAAGTTACCATATTTTTCTTCTATGTCTCCTTTTTAGCCTGAATTTCTCGGGTTTTTCCATGTTGGAAAATGCTGTTGCTGTTGGCTACGTTAGCTGAAGTTTGGTTTCCTACGTACTGGTCTTCGTTATCTGCATGAAAGAGGGGGATTGTGGGTGCCTCAAGCCTGTTATAGTCACTTCCTGTGTTAGATGATTGGTTTCTTGGGCACTGTACTGTTTTTTTGTTCATTTCAGTTATTTATTCATCTCTGTTCTTTGCTGCTGAGTGTAATAAAGAAAGAGATATGCATAATACTCGCCTCCGTGTCTTTAATAAAATCATGACTTTACGTCATGTTAATAGTAAAATCTGGGAATTATTGGCATAAAGATGTTACCAAGATATTCACTGGTTGGCTGAGATATTGATCGTATGATCCATATCATCCTTTGGTTATAGGAAATTTACAGTTTAGTTGCATTTTTCAGCCATACGGAATTTCTAAACATTAGGAACATATTCAAAAGCATCTCACGTAAATTCAGAAATATCCTACTATGTGGCTAATTTGTACAATTCAATTTTTTTTTTTTTTAACTCAGACAATATTACATTTTACAAAGGGCCTTTGTCATGTTTTGACAAAGGTGCCTAGTGAGATATAAACACAGCTGGGTACCTTTGGTGGTGGCTAAATGAAGTACACAAATACATTTTTCAATGACTATATGAAAGTAAAAGCCTTTTACATTTGATGCTAATATTCTGAAACATTTGGGGAAAATATTGTTCCTCTCCCCACTGAACCAAAATACTGATAACAGTAAACCATTGGCCATACTTTTCCAGAAAAAAAAAGAATATATGATACTGGTTTCATCAGATGATTTTAGCAGAACAAGCACGTTGTGGGATACATTTCCAAGTAGTTATGGGTCAGTGTTAGTTTTGTAATATCTGATAATCAGAAAGAGGACATGCCCCAAGGCTTGTTGAACAGGCTTCAATTGTGTCTATCACCATCCTATTAATGCTTCAAGTAGAGACACATGAATGTGAGACTCGAGAATGTGATTTCACAAAGCAAAAACTAAAAATAACCCTAAGTGCTTATATTAGGTTATCACTAATTGCATTAACAACTTGGCTGGCATTCTAAGTAAACAGGAAAAACAAATTTAGAAAAAACACAAGGTGTAAATGTTGCTGCGATACATTAAACTATCAGAATAATCTTATTTAATCTTGAATACAGGAAACAAGGTTAGGAGAACCCAAAAGCTCTAGTTCAGAGGGCCCTGTGGTGGGTTAGAAAAATACATAATGTAAGTTTAGGGGCATGTAGTCTATGGCACTCCAGATGTCGTGTACTACATAGCCCTGATGTTTGCCAGCATTATGGCTGCATCATGTAGTCCACATCGTCAAGTGTGCTGTATGTTTCCTACCTCTGCTCTAGACAATTGGTTAATTAAATTCAATGCAATTCCTGGAATGCCCACAAGAGGCACCATCATATCTATAAAATGTGTCACTGCATGATGTGAGACATACGTACTTGTGCTGACTTTTCTTTCCAAGGATGTCTGCTGTGTTGATTGAAGTTCACAAGTTATACCAAAAATACTACTACACTACTAATTCCAAACAGATTGCGTGCCTGGATTTTGCTTGAATGTCGTCTCCCGATACAAACATCTTAACCTGCTTAAAATACTATGCTTTTTAATTATTATTATAATTATTTGATTATTTTATTATTTATATAGCGACAGCAAATTCCATAGTGCTGTACAATGGGTAATTGAACCTTAAACATTTGTCTTAAAGTTACTGTAAAAGTTTTTAACTCTGCACAAAGTTTGATCTAAGGCAGCCAGTGTTTGAGAAGCCTTGTACCTGGTTTGAGGAAAATCTTTGTACAAGGAGTACTTTACCTATATATTGAATTTATTCTCCTTTTTTTTGGTGATCTTGATGTATATTTTAAGAGGTTCCTGGACTATCTGGTCTGTAAAACAGATATTCTGGTAAATATTACAATTCCTAATTTGTGTCCTCCATTAAACCAATATGTTGTTTCTTTCGTTATCAAGCTTCCAGATGTAACCTCCAAACTTAGCTGTGCTGAAAAATCTTGTTGTTCTCTTGCTATTATTAACTATTTTTAAGAGACTTTATCTTATAGATATAGTGATAAATATATAGCATGCTCCTCCAGCTGTTCGAGATTCTCACCCAATTACCTGTTCATTCCCCTAACATCTTACCAATAGCTGCTTCTCTGTTAACTCTTTCAGCCATCACCTCCAAACTTCCCCTGCTACCTCTTGTCTCAAATCCCCCTGGTATCCTTTAGATTGTAAGCTCACGGGCCATCTAGCTAAGCACTTTGTATAAAAGAGCTCCAATGGCTAGATATCAGTTTACGGGCAGGGCTCTCTTACCTCTTGTATTTGTTTGTGTATATTGTACGTTTCTCAACTAATTGTACAGCGCTGTGGAATCTGTGTGCGCTTTATAAATAGCAATAATAAATAAATAAAATAAATAAATATAACAATCCCTCTGTAAATTCTACATCTCAGTGAATTAAATTTGACTTTAATCTTGAGCCTTTTGACTTTATTCTTGTGCCAAACCCAGAGATATTGTTCCATGAGTTGCCATATTTGCTGTACATGTATATTAAACCTCTCTGTTTAAATTAGAATTCATTTTTCTGGCCTGCTCTTTCTTTTTTTCTGTTAATATACTAATATGTAATTAGATATAAGCATTTTTTTCTGGATTCCACCAGAAGATTATCAAGAATCTCTCACTGGTCTTCTCAATACAGTAATCCAAGTAGTTTGAAAACCTCTATTTAGGAAGAACTTTGTTTTGATTTGTATCTAGACATGTGCATGCCGCAAGTAGGGACATGTCGCCTAAACAAATTTAAAACTACTAGTGACTGGGCAGCAATTGACCTTGTGACTAGTGCAATAAGGTAGGACCAGGCACAGGTTAAATCCTGCCACATGCCCCTACCTGTGTCAGGTCCCCCCATGTAGTAGGGGTATGTCACCTAAACAGCAAGCCAGTGACTGCTCGCTGTCCTTTCAAACTGGATATAAATCAGTATTTTATATGGAAGTGATAGAGAGTTATGGTAAGAGTACGTGTAACCAATAGTTATAGCAAAAACTATAACAATGTTGCATATAGGATAAATTTATATATAGTTTTAAATGACAGCGAGTCGCCAGTGGCTGCTCACTGTCATAAAACTAAATATAAATCAGGATTGGCGTCACTATGACCCCCACATAGGGGCTGCTTGCTGTCATTTAAAACTACTAATGACTGGTCAGCTTTCGTTGCCCAGTCGCTAGTAAAATAATGAGGAACCTGGCCCAGGTCCCCCCGTTCCCCAATGGTGGGGAACACACATAACTAAAATGGGGGGGACCTAATATCCCGACAAAGTCCCCACCCATAAGCGGCAGATGGGGACCCTAATTAATTAAAGGGGGGACCTAATATCCCCCCTGGTTCCCACCCATGAGCGGTGGGTGGGGACCCTGAATAAATAAATAATGGGAGGGTTCTAATGTCCCCCCAGGTCCTCCCATGAGCTATGGGGGGGACCGTAATAAATTAAAGAGGGGACCTAATGTCCCCCCTGGTCCCCAACCATGAGCGGCGGGTGGGGACCCTAATTAAATAAATAATGGGGGGGGACCTAATGTCCTCCCTAGGTCCCCAACCATGAGAGGCAGGTGGGGACCCTAATAAAATAAATATTGGGGCCAACCTAATGTCCCCCCCAGGTCTCCACCCATGACTGGTGGGTGGGGACCACAAATAATAAAGTGACTAGGGATCCCCAAGCCCCTAGTCCCCCCCCCCAATAAAAATACCCTACCCACCCCCCTCACCCTGATAATAGTGAGGGGGGGAATAAACTAAACCTGTAAAATAGAATTTCATACTTACCATTTGATGTCTTCTTTCTTCTTTTCTTTCTTCAGCCCCAAAAAAGGCAAAATAAATGAATTCATGATTTCTAAAGTTATATGATATAATGAGATTGTTGGAACACTATTTTTAGTAAAAAGAAAACAGAAAAGGTGTGTGTCAGTTCTTTTGTGACTAATTGCTCACTTTTCTTGATGAATCTATTTTTTTTCAAATGTTCGACCTTTTTAGAGCAAAAACAGTTTCATTCTTTTGTTTTGCGGTCTTATGGATTTTGACAGTTGGTTCTGGTCTCTCATTCTTTTCAGCAAACATATTGTCTTTTTAACCTGGTTATCCTTTTATATTTGCCATATTGAAATTTTAGAAAAAGTTCCAAGATAGTATCGTTATAAAATACTCATTATGACGAGTAGGAATTTCACTGAAAGTAACTCCTCCTCTTAACTTTTCTTGACACAAGACAGAGCTAAAGTGTCAATCCCTGCAGTTGTCACCGGAGACAGCTGCAAGGAATTGGCTGTGTCTGTGAAGGATCCTGCTGTCTCGCGGCATCCTCCATAGACCTCAATGCTGTACTCTCGCATATGTTTGAGAGTACAGCAGTGATATCGGCGCTGATGAGGACCTTCCTGTACCAAGATGGTGGCGCCTGTGAGGGACAGGTTCAGTTAAGTAAACTCACCTTTCCCTGCCCCTGACCACCAGTGGTGATGTCACCATCGAGGGATTCTGCAAATTCGTCAAAGTTCCCAAACTGTGACTGTACGTACCACTTTAACCCCTTAAG